AAGAAAAAGTAGGAAGAAATATTATGAAGAAAAGATAGATATTTGTAAAAAGGATGGTAAAAAAATTGGGCGAACTTTAAGGGAATTAGTAAGCAAAAAAAACAAACCAATTAAATAAGTTCGGACATATAAGATTTAATAACCAAAATATTTTAATTAAGTTGGAAAATAATTTTAATAACTTTTATGCTGAAAGTATCCATAATGTAGCGAGTACGGCTCTGGATATTGGAATGATGACTCATCGCCGGTGAGTCATCGCCGGTGAGTCATCGCCGGTGAGTCAGCACTCGAATAATCGAGAGTGTGGAGCTCTCTGGAATGTTCCAGAAGACGTAGGCGCTGAATATATAAGGAACGACGCATCATGGAGAGTCAGTTAAGTTTTGGTACTCGCGTCGAAATAAATAAATATAAGTGCAAATAAATAGACTCTTGAACAGTAGTGATATATAAATAATTAGTAGTTAAGTATTTAGTTAGTTTTATAGTGTTTTAAGTGTAGTTAAGTTATTAAATAAATAGTTTAGTTCGTTAATTAACCAGTGCGTGTTTTAATTCACATTACGAACAGTTAAAAACGTTACTATGATATAGCTTTAAACAATTAATGCAACTCAGAAATAAATTTACTTAAAAGTAATTCTAACTTTTAAATACTATTTAATAAATAGCAATATTTTGTAACAGAAATAGCAATATTTTGTAACAGAAACTTCATTATTTCCTTAAATGGTACTATAAAGTAATAAACATTTAAGTAAAACTTGGTTGCCCCCAAAAGACTTTGTAACTTTAAAAAAGGTGTTATAAGTAAAAAAACTTTCAAGTAAATTTAATTTGTAACATTTACTTTCGATTGCTACCTAAAGATTACATTATAATTATTTTTACTTTGTTACAAAGTTAATATATAGTTATAACTTAAAAGTTATTATTTTAGTATTTGGAACGTTTATGGTACTAACCAAAACTACCTTAAAGTAAATTAAGGTGGAAAAAAACTTTAAAGTAGCGAAAACTACTTCAAAGGAAAATGCTTCTTATCGGCCATTTTTTACTGTACAGTACCACGTGGTAATGTAAATAATAAATTATTTTAATTGTTTGTAAATGGTTGTTAACTTTTTAATAAATAGTAATTTTGTTGGTAATAGACGGTATTAATAATTAAATAAAAAATTAATAATAAATATTATATTTTTTTTATTTATAAACATTATTAAATAAATAATTTGTTTTCATAATTTCGTAAGTTCGACAGTAAAATTTAAAGGGTTTATAAATTTACCTGCCTAATTAAACATTATATTGTTATTCTGAAACTACCAGTACATATTTAATAAACGACGACATTGAAAAGCCAAGTCCGTAGTGGTTCCATTTAAAAAAGGAGAGATAGTATAATCTAATATAAGTTTGACAAAGACAGGTAATATAGAAGTAAAAACAAATAAATAAAAGTAATTATAACGCTCTAGCAACGATATTGAAACGTTCTAGTAACGTAGCAGCTACGTTCCAAATAGTAGCAGGGTTTATAGCTAGTGACATATTTGTTTTTGGAACTCAATAATTGTTTCCAATTTAGTCGTAACTTAGTAATGAAAGAGTAATATAAAGAGACCGGGGACTGTCGCAAAACACTTTAAAGTTTTTTCAATGATCCCATAAACGTAACAAATACTTAAATTGTTGCTTGGGCTTTGTGTTTCATAAGATCATAAAAGGGTCAAAAATGAAATGAAATGAAATGAAACATAATTTTGGTACAATTTTTAGCAAAATAAACATTAGTAAGAGTGGGTAAATTTTTGTGTAATTTTACATACGAGTATCATCCAGAAAATTTTGTAAAATTTTAGTTTGTTATCCATGTAATATTTGGATTTGCATAATGCATAGTTTAAAATAAAAACAAATAGGTGAGTTAAGGGGGCAATTGCACCCATTGGTCCCCCCTGTATCCGCGCCTGCTTAGACTTAGATAGATTTTTGCATAATGCTGTGTTTGTCTGTCTTAGAAAATGTTAAAATAAAAACAAATATATTTATTATTTATTTATATATTTATTTTATATCTATAGATGTGATAGAGGGGGTGGGGGCAATTGCCCATTGGTCCACCCTGTATCCGCGCCTGCAAAGATTTTAGTTTTTAAGTGTTCAAAGAGAAAAATTTTCACTTAACTTTTTAAATTCAGGTGGCGGCACCCGAGCCGTGCGCATGATTTCCTCCTGGGGGGATATCAAATTTAGGGCCGTCCATGAATCTCGTAAAGCTGGAGGGGGAAGGTATTTTTTAAACGTCAGGTGACAAAATAAATCGAATAAAATTGCTTATTCGTTCCATTTTTTCAGATCGGGTACAAAAAAGAATCGGAAAAAATAAGTTAGAGGGTATACCCTATAGTGGGTTCAATAATCAGTGTTGCCAATTTCGGTGTAAATACACCATTTGGGTGTAATTTACTTTAACATTTTTAAATGCGGTGTAATTTGGGTGTAATTTTGGACGGATCATTTAAAACGTACCTATTTTTATTTAAGGAAAGTTTTAAATGTGATTAAAATATAATTCATTTTGTAAAAAGGGGAATCCCTGGATTTAATATCATAATATGTATGTAGTATTAGGTATTATGGGTAAAGAAGTGGCCACGCCCCTCGGAATCTTCCTTTTCGTTCTAACTAGTGTTTTTAACGCTGCAAAGCGGTTTTGCGCAAGTATCATCGACGATATAGCAGCTTCGCCGTTCTTATTGGCTTTCGCTAACAACAGCTGTTTGTGACACATGCGCGTAAATGTTTCCAAGAAATTTTATCTTTTTCTTAAGAAATAATTTTACTTTAAAATTATTTTTTGGTTATACCTTAATGATATTTTAATTAAAGTTGTGAATGTTGTAGAATGTGAATTTTGGTTTTGTTATTTAAAAATGGATCGCTGGCTTTTAAAGGTAATTGTTACTTAATACAGCCATAGAAAAAGGATAGTACAGCTATCTCATTTTAAATATACAATTGTACCTTTATATCTAAAATTATTTTTAGAAATGCCGTATTTCCATTTATAGATTAACGCTGTCAATTTGTAAATGCTTGCGTATTGTTTATGTTTTCACGCAGAAGAAATGCAATCTATGAAAACAAGCGTTTTTTTAATTTGAAAAACGGTGGGCATTAAAAATTAACAATAATAATAATAATAATAATAATCAATAATAGTTAAATTTGGACACCCCTGAATCATGATAAGGTATTATTTTTGCAAAAAAATATGGGTTTCGAGCATACGACATTTTCAATGTTATAAATCACTGATTTAAAATCAGGCTTAATTTTTGTTGGGGTGTAATGTGGTGTAATTCTGTAATTCTAACTTGTCCGATCCCAGATTTTTTTTTTCATATTCTGTAATAATTATGTGACCATGTTAAAAAAAATAATTACCGATTGAGAACTTTACAAACAAAAATTTGTTTATACATAATTTGGTGAGTTCCAATTTTTTTCGATTCAGTAGTTTCCGCATGAAAAATTTTAGACAAAAAAGTATAATTTTTTAAGTTGCAAAATCAATATCAGAAATATTTAATTTTGAAAAACCACTCCGCGTGAAAAATCAAGGTACTACTTCCACTCTATAGGCAAATACTCAAGGATTTGGCAGAAGGGGATGCAAAAAAAACAAGGTGGGCCCCTTTTACAAAAACTGTCCCGGGCCGTTTGAAACACGCCCATCCGCCATCAACATGATCCTCTTTTGTTGATAGCTTTAAAATTGAATAATATAGCGTTGAGTGAAGGACCTTAATCATCTTAATCAATGATTATAGTTTATTTTATGGATTTTATTTTATGAGCGAGCTGAGCTGAGCTCGCCGAGCTCGTGAGAGAAATAACACTGTCCTATGTAGGAAATGCTAAGACTGCTTGGCTGTACGTCGATATATTGGCCCAGGCCTCGGCCAGGCTTTAAAAATCTAGACTTGGCCTTTAAGTCTCTGACCAAGCTTAAGCCAGACTTTCAAGACCGAGTCTTGGCTCCCAAGTCTCTGACTTAGCTTCAGTTAGACCTTTAAGAACAATATTGTTCTTAATGATAAGTTTGTGCCAAGTATAAGGCCAAGCCCGAAGATTATTCTGTTATTACCACCCAACATTTGCCCAGGCCTTAATATATTGTCCTGGCCAAAAGGTTCATTACCAGTCTTGGCCTTACAAAAACTTATCATTTCAAGACTCACCCAAACTTGACCCAGTTGGGCTTTAAAGCTTGGGTCAGAGACTCTGACCCAAGCTTTAAAGCCCTGACTCAGAGTAGTGTAGAATTGGGCACCCAAGACCGGGCCGAACTTGGGCCCTTTGTTTTTCCCTACATGGGATAAAAACCAATTTAACTTAAATTATATTTTCTTGGAATCTGTGTTGTAAAAAAATCTAAAATTATTTGTGAATGGGTCTGATGCCTCACAAAATCATATACTACTGTTTAGTAGTATAGTTAAGGTTCAACTAATAAAAGCACATTTTTTAAATAAAATAAACTTTATTATTTTAAACCAAAATAAAACTTAAAAATACTTCAGACTACAAAAAACTTTGGTAGCTAGTTTTAACATAAAACATTTTTTAGTAAAATATTTTTGCTTTATCTAGTTTTGTACTAACAAAATATAAATCAAGTACTAAACAAGTACCTAAAAAAAGTAATTATACAAAGTGTCTTTATATTTATAGTTAAAACTAGATAAAAATATATATATTATATAATATAATAAACAGTAAAAAATAAAATGAACTTATTTAAGAAAACAAAAACTTGAAAATTCTTTGAGTACATAAAAAAATGTCTGTTGTTTGTTTAACAAAGAGGTTTTAATCTCCACAACCATAAAATTTGAAATCAAATAAATAAGGTTATCTATAAAATATAGATAACCTTAATTATTTAATATAAGACTATATGTCATTACTGTAATTACTAAGTTCGTCTAATTTTCTGGAAATAAATACAACATATGTATTTTTTATGTGTAAATGTCTTAATTTAGAAAACAAAAAACATAACATATTATATTATTAAATGTCAAGGTGTGGCTTGTGGTTGTGGAGCATGGTACATAAAGTAATTATAAAAAGTGTCTTAATATTTAAATTTTGAATATGTATCATAAAAAGTAAAAAATAAAATAAACTTATTATTATAGGTTTAAACAAAAACTTAAAAATCATTTTGACTATAAAAACTGACAAGAAAAATCACCATATAAAAAAATCCGCTCCTGAAACAAAAAAATCATTTATTTAAATAAGAAAAACAAACTTTACTGTAATGTCCCAGAACTCGCGCAACAGAGAAAAAGGAAGCGTGCTGATGGTAAATTTAAAAATAAAAAAATCTAGGTAATATCACAATCCATACAACAAGGTCTGTTCTATAATACTAAAAATCACAGCAACACTGCACAGAGTTTAACGGCGGCCATTTTTGTTATTTACAATTCTTGTGCTTTGGGTTTGTGCTGTTTAATAATAGTTTTAAATGTTGCGTTTCTTACAGAGGAATTCGTAAGCCTCAAATGAGGCCTTAAAGTGCCAAGGACAACCATTTTACTCCTCTTCCCAGATAGCACAATATGTCCTGAGGACATCCGGTTTAAATCCTTTACAGACGGTCGCGACCAGAAAACCGATGGACGTCCTGAGGCCTAGGCCTATGGACGTCCTAAGGCCTAGGCCGATGGACATCCTGAGTACGTCCATCGGTTTTTTGCCTGCGACAATAGTTGAAGATACAAGTTGATATATCACCCTTTATAAAGGCCTTTATAAAAGGTGATATATCAATTTGTATCTTCAACTATTGTCGCAGGCAAAAAACCGATGGACGTACTCAGGATGTCCATCGGCCTAGGCCTTAGGACGTCCATAGGCCTAGGCCTCAGGACGTCCATCGGTTTTCTGGTCGCGACCCGGGTCTAAGTGAAAAAAAATTACACCTTGTTTTTTATTAAAAATACTCCTTAATCAAGCACGATAAAAGATTTTAAAAAAAAGTTGACAATTTTTTTTCACTTATATGTCTATAGATAGACCCTTTATCCACTTAAGTGGAATTGTGTCTTTAGTTGTCAAGTATTTTTAGCAATTGCAATTTTCCATATCTCTAACTTATTTAAAAATATCTAGTACCTAAAATTAATTAATTCATTGCATTAAAAATATCATTACAAATTTTAAAAAATTATTTTTAATTATATTATATATATTAGGTATATTATATTTTTAATTTGTTGCAAAAAATATAACATTGGCCAAATTAATAATTTGAATTAATAATATTATATGAGAAATGTATAATACGAATTAAAAATACCATTGGAGAAATTTCTCCACTTTAACATTTAAATTATTTAATTTGTCCTATAATATTTTTAATGCAATAAATTGTAAGAGTTTATTTCAAATTTACCGCCAAATAAACAGTTGGTATTGGAAGTAACCAGTTTAGTGACTTTAAGTTGGCAGTCTGAAATCCGCCATGTTGGCATTGTTCATAAAACAGCGTGTGCTGTTTTTAGTTAGCTCCCGGTTTAGTTAAATTTCTATGTATTTAAATATATGATATAAGTGAAAAACAACTTTTATTATATGGAAAAACCCCTACAAAATTTAAGTTTTCACTTGATATTTTTAAATAATTTAGAGATATGAAGGTATGTGAAATTCAATGGAGAAATAAATAAAAATAGTATTATGAAAGCTTTATTGTTTTAACTTAAGGAATATATGGTTAACGGATTGACCTCCTTTTCCCGGACACCCTGTATATATATATATATATATATAGATAAGTGGTCAGCTGTGACCTCCGTTAAGTTGAGAGGGCCACCTCTCCTCCGGGTCTGCGGAATGGACGATTTTTATTTTGATTGCATATATTGCGGGGGGGAGCCTTAAATATTAACGCCACCACAAGAGGGGAAGCAATTTTTAATTTTTTAAAATGTTAATTTTTTTACGCAAACTGGAGATACTCAAGATACAAAGTCACCTCCGAATATATATATAATTTCGGAGAAACAAACAGCCTTGTATCCTCCGACAGTGTTGCCGGATTTTCGGAGGTCGCAACGTATCTTTAGTATCTGGGATATATATCAGATTTATTTTGTCCACTGCTTCGTGCTATATGTGCCATACATTATTTAGTAATAATAATAATTATTATTATTTTTGTTATAAAAGACAAAATATTAAAAATAATATAAATGGAGTACTTTGAAATAAATAATTTATTTGATTTAAAAAAGAACGTATTGGTATATGATAGGTCTTGCAGGTATAATGGCAAAAAAATGTTTTATTACATAACCCCTGTAAAATCTTTATTTATCGTGCGATTTTTACCAGATTTGTTTTAAAGGTAAAATCTCGATAAACTGTATTTTTGCAAAAACGCCATATTTTTACTAAATACAAGGCCTACTATGTCAGTTTTTAAGAGTTAATTTTTAAGAATTCATATTAGCGATTTTTTTAAAACAAAATCTAAGCACGGCACTGGATTCACCACCCCTCAAAATGACCTTATACTAAATTATATTAAAAATGTAAATAGAAAAATATAGAAAAATAATAACTACAAAAAATTATTTTGTCAAGTTATACATGAAAGAAACATTGAAATAAAATTAAACTAATAGTATAACATGGTATACTTATTATAAGTTTAATTTTATTTCAATGTTTTTTTCATGGATAACGACGATAAATTTTTGTACTTATTGTGCATTTTTCTACTTAAATTTTTTTAATAAAGTTTAGTAAAGGGTCGTTTTGAGGGGGTGGTGAATCCAGTGCCGTGCTTAGATTTTGTTTAAAAAATCGCTAATATGAATTCTTAAAAAATTACTCTTAAAAACTGACATAGTAGGCCTTGCATTTTGTACAAATATGGCGTTTTTTGCTCCAAATATACAGTTTATCAAGATCTACTCCATAAAACAAATCCGTTTAAAATCGCACAATAATTAATGATTTTACAGGGGTGAGTTGTAAAAAAAAATGGGTCACATTGTATATGTACTGTTTTGCTTGCAAGTAGTTTTTTAAAAACTTTTCAAACCGATTGACTTTTGAAAGAATTATTAATATTATTATTATCAATAAGTTTTGTTATTTTAATATTTATTAGTAGATATTATTATTTTTAATATTTCAATTGTATTTTTGTATTATTTTTATTTTTTCTAATTTATATTTTATATTTATATAATTTATAATTATTTTTTTGTTAATATTTTTATTACGTAGGTATCTACTTCAATTATTTATATTTCTTTTACAATCTTCATTATTTATTTATTTTTATTAAGTTTTATTGTATTATTTTAATTGTTTTATTCATATTATTTTTATTTATAATTTTAAAAAATTAATCTTATTATATTATTTTTAATAATTTTTCCAATAATTATTATACCCAATCATTTTGAATATATTTATTAGTATACTTTTTTATTATTTTTATCAATTTTACTTTTTTAATTATTTTTAATAATTTTTCTAATAATTATTATACCCAATCATTTTGAATATATTTATTAGTATACTTTTTTATTATTTTGTCAATTTTACTTTTTTAATTATTTCTTTATTTCTAATATTTTTATTTTTAATATTTTTGATATTTTTATTATTATATTAATAAAAATATAAGAAAGAAATTTAAGTAAACAATAAATAGGGATAACTAAAAAACATAAGTAAAGTAAAACATTTTTATCTATTAAAATAGTTATGAATAATAATTATTATAATTATAATTATCATAAGGGTAACTAATTAATGTTTTTTTTTCGTTTTTCTTAAGGTGTTGGACTTTGGCTTTAATAAGGGATACACTTCTTTTTATTTTCGTTTGTTCTAGAAAAGATTTAATTTCTTTGCTAGATGAATAAATATTTTTTTAATATGGTTAAGGAATTTATCCTTTATTAACCCAATTTCCATATTGGTGCAGCCTAAAAATAATAACACATTTTTAAACAAATAAAAGTAAAAAAAGATTGTGTGAGTAAAAAATATTGTTTAAACACATTTTATGTGTTAAAATCATTTTGTACTTTTTTTGTTTAAATTCTTTATCTTTTTTGGTAATGATTTCATCATTACTAGTATCGTCTAAATCTAAAAGAATTATTTTACAATATCCATTTCTATAAACATAATGCATTTACCTAATTATGTACGTCTCTGGATTATTAATTACGTCCTGGAAGATATATTTTTAACTTAAATCGTTATTTTACACTTAAGATGTTAGAACAAAAGTCAAACCGCGTAACTGCGTAACAAATAACATATAAGAAGTATTAAAGATCATCAAGTCTGAACATCTATGACTGCGCGAGATATTGCAAGGTTGCCAAATTTCGGAGGTAACAAATGTACGTATACATGACGGAGGTAACTTTGGTGTGGCTGAATCTGATTAAAAAGCGACACTAGCGCCAATTCATATATGGTGGAACTAAAAGTTCCTTTTTAAGAGACTGGGGGGTCAAAGTGACCTCCGAAATATTTTTGCACAGATTGATTACTGACACTCCCCCAATGTCAAAAATATGGTTAAACACTGTGACCTCCGAATTTGGAGGTCACAGCGTCATATATGAGGTCACAACGTATGAAGGGTCTCCGTTTTGGAGGTGACATTGTACCCTTTATCAATCTATATATATATATATATATATATATATATATATATACACTTGTTAACACTGTATTACATTTCCCTATTATAATAAAACTATGTCCTAATTCGGTCCTCATATGTCCCGAATTGGACAGCTTGGGGTCAAATACGGACGTCCTGAGGACATCTGAAACAGTCTATTTCGGAAGTCTGTGGACGTACTACGAACGTACTTTTGCAGACCCCGGACATCCTGAGGACGTTCGGGTTGTCCTGGGTGGAAGTCCTACGAACGTCCTACGAACGTACTTGTGCTATCTGGGTTTTATGAAAAATAAACATTCTATTAGGGTTGTCAAATGTCAATTTGAAGGTTAATTTGTGGGTTATAAATTAACCTTAAAATTGACATTTGATAGTTTGATGACAGCCCTGATAGAATAAGGTTTATTTTTTACAAAAGTGGAGTAAAATGGTTGTCCTTAGCACTTTAAGGCCTCATTTGAAGCTTACAAGTGCCTCTGTAAGAAACACAAGGTTTAAAACGATTATTAATCTGTATAAACAGTACAAACCCAAAGCACCAGAATTGTAATTAACCAAAATGGCCTCAGTGATCACTGCAGTGTTGCAGTGATTTTTAGTATTTTTAGTACGAGATAAAACAGACCTTGTTGTGTGGATTGTGGGTAATATTGTAATCAAATGAGAGCTCTCTCCTAGGTTAAACGTAGGAGCTTTAAAAATTGCTAGGAGACGAAAGAACATTGTTGTCTACAACTTTTAAAAATCTTTTGACCGACTGTGTTTACTAACCTTTCAAAAAAGAATGTCATACTTCAGGACGACAATGTTTTAAAGTAAAAATTAAACAACTAGTTCTGTACCCCAGAGCCAATCGCTTATCCTTTGCTTTGCGATAATTAAAATTTTTAAGTATGTGTTTCGCATAACTTTCGGCAAGTTCCCTTTTTTTCTGTGACCCGAGTTCGGTGACATACATACACCCTATTTTTTATTGCAGATTCGGATCATTCGACTAAAAATAGGTAGATTTTGTCTAAAACATTTTTTCATATTTGTAATAGATGGAGCTGTAATGAAAAAAAATCAATTTTGTTCGATTTTTCTTCTGTATACGATTCTCCAATAATTTTTGAATAAAATACTTGGTTTTACTTTTTTAATTAATTTATTTATTTTTTAAATTTTTAATAAAGTAGGTGCTCAAAATAACAATATTAAATATTTGCTCGACGAACTCTTTTTTTTCGGTTGAACACTCCCGTTTGTAGCAAACTGCTTGATTGAACGATGAAATGAAGTACGTGATCGATTTTTTTCCGGAAAACGCTGAGCTTAGATATTAACAGCATCATTAAGATTCCTGCCTGCCACGGTTAAAAAGTCCATTATGAATAAATGCTTAAGGAGAGGTCTTTTTGTTTGCAAATTAAAAATTAATCTTGGAACTAAATTGATTAAATATTGCTAAACTATGTATAAATAGTTTCTGTATACCTCAATAATAATTATTATTTATAACTAAATATCATTTTTTATACGTCAATTAGGATTAAATTAATTAATTAACAAAATAATGTTTTTTTTCCTTAAATTATGTATTTTTATTAAAAATGATACAATAATCCTTTAAATTAAAGGATTTAATGCTGGCAGGTAAAAAGTAACCATGGTGCGCAATTGATAATTATCACCGAATGAAATAATGTATAAAACTTAAACCAAAGGAAACTTAAATATTAGTTAAAAAATCGTGGGTACTTAAAAATCAGATTTAATTTAATAATAATAATTATTATCAAAAAAAGTGATATTTTTATAGAAAAATTATTACAAAATCGTATAAGAAAAGTCTAACAAAATTGATTTTTTTTCAAAACAATAAAAATTATCTGTACTGCATATTGCGGATACGGGGGTTTGGCTTAGCACGGCAGTGTTCCCCTTATAAGGAGGAGAGTATGAGGACCAATTTTAGCACTGATTTATTTTCCCCCTCGAATCATTTAATTTTTATTTTAAACATTAAATTAAATTAATTAAATTAATTAAATTAATTTAAATTTTATTTGTAAAATGCATCACTGAGATATTTCCAAGTTTCAAGTTAAATGATTCACCCTGTATTAGGGTGGCTACTTTTTCTCTGACAAAGTGATAGTAGTAATTTACTACACATATTTAGACTTTTTATATAAAGGGCGTTCAGAAAGTTGGTACGAATTTAAAACGCTATCCTATATCATATAAAATTGTCATTGAATTTTTATTACTGTTTACGCGTTTTATAAACAAAGTGACTAAAAGTACACCGGGAGTACGGCCATTAAACGTACACCGGGTGGAAAAAAATTCTTATTTAGCATATTTGTCAATTGTATAATATTAAATGGTCGCTCAATTTCGCACTCAATGGAGCGGGGGGGGCCAATGGGGCGGGGTCGGTTGGGTTGGTTTCTTGAGTTTGGGTTGGTTTGGGTAATTCCTACTGACATTTCATTAATTTTGTTGTTAATTGTATTAATTAATTAAATTTTAATCAATGTTTATACAACTTGAAAGTTAGCTTAATAATTACATAATTATTATTAACAGTTAACCAGCTGTTATACAACTGGGCCTTAGTGTACCAATTTAATCTCAACTAATAAATCCGAAATTTTACCATCAGCTGGTATGGAAACACGCATGCGCACAAACCTGATGTACTTTTAATGCCAGTACTCCCGGTGTACTTCTAGTCACGGCGTTTTATAAAATGCTATAGCATTTTGCACAAACTTCCTGAACACCTTTTTTAAAAAATTGCTGTTATAAACTGCCACATACCTTTATTATTTTATCATATTCCAATGTTTATTCTGGTCTGGTCAGGTCCCTTTGTCCGTTCCTGAAAATAAAGTTTAAATTTGTATTAGGTATGTATTTTTTTTAAATTGTACAATTTAACGTTTTTTTTTACTATAAATTTAAAACGGCTTATGTGATTTTGCTTAAATTTGGTAGGTACTTAATTTGGCTTTAAAATGTACGTTGACATAATTTAAAAAAGACAAAAAGTCCATATAAAAATTATGATTAATATAAATTTATAGGTAAGTATTAAACTTGTTTTTATTTTTAAATTGCATTCAACGTACGCCAATGTAGAATGTAAAATTTAAATTACGAAGAACCGCATGATAAAACTCGATTAAACTCATGATTTTTTAAAAATTTGTATTTACAAATCTAAATAATTCGCACCTAATTTTTGGTAAATCCATATCAAATTAATCAATTTAATTTAAAAAGAAGTAAAATGTTCTTAATAAGTTTTGGAAAGTAACGATAACTGCAAAAATCTGTATTATCTAAGCAAAAACACTTTTCGAAATATCGTACCGTTTTTATTATTTTCAGTACCTTTTTACAACATTTAAAGGAAAATTGATAACCAGTGTTACTTTAGTAATAGATCTCTTACTTTTAGCGAAAATACAAGGTGTCCCTAAACTTATTGGCATAAATTTAGGAAAATATTGAGCAAGTAAAAATAAGTCGAAAACCTAAATAAATATTTTTCCTAATTACTTGTTTCCAAGATACAGGGTGATAAAGTGTTACTTATCATATCAGTTTTTTTAATATAACTTCTACTATGGAAGTCTTAGAAATGTGATATTTTGCGAACAGTCACTTACTACCAAAACACATATTCACACATATTCACACATAATTATAATTGTTTGAGTGAACACAGTGTCGTAGAATCGGGGGTTGATTTAAGCTTATTGTCCCATACAAACTTTGAGGTTAGGTTTTCATAACATTTGATTGAATTTTTTGATTACACAGTTCAGCTACCATTTAAAAGGTATACCTCTCAAACTTCGATAAACTAAACCGTTTCCCAGATATTCGAGATTACAATAGTTGTTATATCGCATTATTTAAAAGGATTAAAAGGTATATGATAACAAATTTTATTTTTTAATTGAAAAAACTAAAAAAGGCATTCCATGAGCCTCGGGACGTTTTGCCCTGACCGTCACATTAAAAAAAATTGTAGTTTTTTTTAATTAAAAATTTGTTATCATATACCTTTTAGTCCTTTAATGCGATATAACAATTATTGAAATCTCGAATATATCGGAAACGGTTTATTTTATCGAAGTTTGAGAGGTACACCTTTTTATAATAGTAGCCGAACTGAGTAATCGAAAAATTGCATCAAATGGTATAAAAACCTAACCTCAAAGTTTGTATGAGACAATAAGCTTAAGCAACCCCTGTTTCTACGACACTGTGTTCATTCGAACAATTGTAATTATGTGTGAATATGTGTTTTGGTAGTAAATATCACCTTTCCAAGTCTACCATAGTAGAAGTTATATTAAAAAAACTGATATAATATGTTGTAAAGTCCCTTTACACCCCTTTCCAAGGGTCATTTACATTGTAATTTAGGATAAGTTATTTTTTTAGAAATACACGTGTAGTGCAAATATTTTATATTTTAAGTTCGTTACTCTTTTCCAAGCATTAAACCTTGTTTCTGCTGAGTCTTTGTTTTTCTATATTAGGGTTTTATTATTAATTTTCTATTGGTTAGAACTATTGTTGCTGTTAAATTTTCATTGGTCTAAATGGTCAGACCATCTTCGCGTATGTCATGTGACATACCCTAAACAAAACCAAAGGCACGGACAGAAATCGAGAATTAGGTTCCGAACAATGAATTAGTATGTAACAACTCTAAGATTAAGATAATTAAGTAGATTGAAGCCAGAAAATAGTGTAAGTTGTAGTGATAATCGTTTAAGTACCAATAAACGAAAGTAGTACAAATCCTGAGTGTCATTGGACTCACCCTAAACTCCTAACCCTCAACAAAAAGTGGTGGCAGCGGTGGGATTTCCGCAAGCGAATAGCCGAAAAAGTGATACATTTCGGTGCTGGAAAAGTTCCCATAAATCTAAAAAGTTGAGAGGAGTCACTATCAGGGTTAAAAGTCAAGGAGTTGCTGACACTACAACGCGCCGTTGCAGAACAGGACCACCATCCCCGAGAACGAAGCCAGCTGCGAAATACCTGAATTCACCAGGGCAGACCCGAAACTTCTTGGAGGGCAGTGTTGTTTATGTGTTCTGTGATAGTTCAAAGTTCACGAAAATTCTGTGCTGAACCTACTTACCATTCCAGTTCAACAAGTCGACTCATCCACAAAAGAGAAAAAATCCCAGGCTACAGAAAAATAAACTGTAAGTTACAATTGTTCTAATTGTGATTCTGTTGCTCATGAACGATAGGTTAGGCGAAAATTTTGTAGATTATTTTAACGAAGACGAATTGGAGATCGAAATCATGGCATTTTCTGCCGAATTATCTCTCAAAATGATCCCTGCATTTAGTGGTGACCGGCCTGAGTTACACAAATTTTTAAGTTGTTGCGACGTAATTTGGGCTATGGCAACCACGAGAAATCAGCAAATACTATTTTTAAATATTGCGAAATCAAAATTGTCGGGTTCAGCATATAACATTGTTAAGTATAAAGATTTTAACGATTGGCCAGAATTAAAAACCGTTTTAAAAGAACAGTTCCTTGAGCGACGGACAATTGCGCAAATTCAAGTAGAGTTATTAAATTGTCGTCAAAATCTAAACGAAGATATTAGAGCTTTCGCGAATAGAGTAGAAAATTTAATGCAAGATCTAGATGACGCGTGTATAGCAAGCGAGGGTGAGGCTGCGCGTATTACTATCCAAAATCTAAACAAGAAATCCGCTCTTAAAGCATTTGTTGAAGGACTTCGGGATCCTATTAAACTCATAATAAAGGCAAGTAGGTTTATTAACTTGGTTGACGCGATTGAAGCTGCGTGCGAAGAGGAGAGGAACCTCGGGTCAAATAAAAATTCAAATTTTAATAAGTTTAAACCCAAAGACGGAAAACGTCCTCTTAAATGTTTTAAATGCAATAAAATGGGTCATATTGCTGATCAGTGTTATTCAAACGGTCGAAACGCACCCCAATATCCAAATCATTTCAAAATAAAGTCAGAGGCCGATATAAAAGCAGGCGCATTGGTTTGCAGATATTGTAAACACCCTGGACATTCAATTGAAGAATGTCGGAAACGAGCGTATAACAATTCTAGGAAAAATGCAAGTACGTCACAGTCATTTAATACGCAAAACAATCAGTCGGGAAACGACTACGGAACGGGTCCAATGAACGGCAGAACCGCGACGCGTTCCAAAGATATAAAAACTGCCGAGCAATAAACTCCTTTCAGGGTAGTCCTAATGCGTTAAATTTTATCGATCCTCCAAATTCTACTAAATCCTCTGACTCTACTAAATCTACTAAATCCTCTGACTCTACTAAATCTACAAAATCCTCTGACTCTACTAAATCTACAAAATCCTCTGACTCTACTAAATCTACAAAATCCGAAAATGTTTTTACAATAACAGACGAAAAAGCTAACTCGTCTTGCGTAAATATTTCCTTAAGTTCAACGATATCTAAATCCGCGACCTTGCTAGTTGATACGGGAGCTGAGGTAAGCATTCTTAAATTAGGTTGCACGGATGACGATGCTTTAATTTATACAGATGAAACAATTCAATTAAAAGGTATCACCGGTTCTCACATCATGTCTTTAGGTGTTCTACCGGCCAGCATAAAACTTTGCGAAACGCATGCCCTAAATCACGAATTTCATATTGTCCCAGATAATTTTTCAATAGTTGCAGATGGTATTTTAGGGAAAGACTTTCTACTAAAATATAAAGTATTATTAGATTATGATGAGTCAAAGCTTACTATTCCATTAAGCGGTAAAAACTACTCCTTTACTCTTACTAATCCTTACAAAATCTTTATTCCTCCTAGATCAGAGATCATTGCCAATGTCAAAACAGATTTTCTAAATCCAAAAGTATGTCTTAATAAGGAAGTTAAACCAGGAATTTATGTCAGTAATTGTATCGTAGAACCCAAACAGGGAAATTGTAAAATCAGCATTTTAAATTCAACCGAAAATCCGGAAACAATTAATTCTCTCGATCTTGATTTTGATGAATTGGATAATTATCACATTGTTACCGTTCTTAGTACCACTAATGGTAAAAGGCTACAAGCAATAGAATCTCAAATTTGTCTTGATCATAAGAACCAAGAAGAAAAAGACTCAATCATTAAAATTTGTCGGGAATTTAACGAGTTATTCTATATAGAAGGAGACACTTTAACATGTACTGACGCTGTTAAACATTCTATTCCCATAACTTCTTCGAAGCCAGTTTTTGTTAAACCGTATAGATTACCCCAGCAACAAAAGCAAGAAATTCAAAATCAAATAAAAAAAATGCTATGTGACGACATTATTGAACCAAGTCGATCCCCATACAATTCTCCTATACTTATCGTTCCTAAAAAAGCTGACTCAGAAGGAAATAAACGGTGGCGCCTTGTCGTAGACTTTCGAAAACTTAACGACGTCACGGAGTCAGATGCATTTCCACTTCCAAACATTACGGAAATTTTGGATCAATTAGGTAAATCTAAATATTTTTCAGTAATTGATTTAGCGAACGGATTTCATCAAATCAAATTAAGTGAAGAAAGTAAGCCACTTACTGCGTTTTCTTTTTACGGACACTATCAATACAAAAGGTTACCAATGGGGTTGAAAGGTGCTCCGGCTTGTTTTCAGCGGTTAATGAATAACGTTCTAACGGGTCTTCAAGGAATTAAATGTTTTGTATATCTGGATGATATAGTCGTATACGGTACTTCTTTAAATGACCACAATAATAAGTTAATAGACGTGTTTCAAAGGTTAAAGGAAAACAATTTAAAATTACAACTAAGTAAATGTCAATTTCTACGCAAGGAAA